ATTTTTCTGAGAAGAAATTCCTTTTTATAAGCTTGCTCGACGCGTGGGTGGTAGATTCGAATAGTAAAGACTGTTATGCTAATGCAAAGTAACAGGGATCTTGTTACTTCTTTATTTATAGTTTCGAACGGTCAGTTGAGCTCATTAATGAAATCCACTTCGATCATGGATCGTCGAGTATAATTTGCATAAGATACTTTACGTACGAGCGACCGGTAATTGAGCAGAATCAATTGCAGCATTGATTTAGCGTAAATTATCAAGGAATTTATAGCTCTGAGCTAATTCTCCAGACGGTACCATAACGAAAGACGTCAGCAGAGTAAACCAATAACTGCTTCTCCCGGTCTACATACGGTGCATGTGTACCGTGAACTATTGCTTTAGATTCTCGTACGTGAGCTTAGGGTCACTACCTTGTATATCACTTTATTACGTGTTTCGTGGCTTTGTTGGAAGGATCTCTGCTTGACGCACAAGAAATATCCGCAATTCCTCTACATATCCACCTATCGATTCTTTTCTATTCTACTTTGCTCGAAAAATCTCTCCATTCTTCTTTTATCTTATTGTCGATGACAAGTTTTTTTTTATGCAAGAGTTTCATTTTTTATAATTTTTTGGGTAATTTTTAGTTTAAGTTTCTTTCATAAAAGAATAATCTTTCTCAGCTAAAATCAATCTTCTTATATTCTCTCTTTTTCTCGAAATTCTTAACCCTTTCAATTCATCGTACATCGACTGATACGAATATTATTCTTTCCCACTGGATTCGCCTAATTGATTCAAAAGCATCGGGTATTCTCAAGCTGTGAGAAAAGTGACAAAAGGTATTAACGAACAGTAACAGAAATTATTTTCGTTCATTTTACATAAAACTTTGATTGTACCCAAAAGTCGGAGAGAATTCATTTCCACGCCTAACACATTTTACACAAAACTTCGTTAAATCGTGTAACACGATACATCGGAGTTCTAATCATTAACAAATTGATCGCTCAAGTGGTCACTCGAGTATTTCCTCGTTAAATTGAAGTTCACGCAATTCTTGCTGAGTTATCGTTGGAAAATCCAAACGATTTTCATTCCCTCCTAAGAAATCTGATGTTTCACGTTACACGACCTGATACGAAACTTCCCAATACACTCTACCACAGAAACGAACACTATATAGCGAAATATCTCGACAATTGTATTAACCCATTTATCCCCTTCTTTCACAGGCGGATTTCTTTTTGTTTCAGCAGACGGGAACGGTCAAAATCCGCTGGACCCTTGGTCGATCGTTTGGTACATCGGTTCTTTCGGCGGTCTGGTCGCCTTCTTTCTCATCGTAAGCTGTTCAGAATGGTGTTGCCGAAGAGGTGGAAGACCACTAACGGTCCCATATGCTCAACGAGCCGAGGTTATCAACGGTGGACAAGTAGTTACCGAAACACCACCTCCACCGTATCATTTGTTCGCGCCACCGCCGTACGATTCTGTGAACTACGGCGACATAATAGACAAGAGTACAGGAGAGAAGGTCGACATTTACGTGATATCTGTACCGATTCACAGACCTATGGTACAGGTTCCAGCCTAGAGTTTCCTGTTGGTGCTCCTCGAGCAGAGGGCACAACCGAATCGAGATGAGAACGACACCGATTACGTCGAAATCGGTTGACGGTCGTGCGCGTTGGTCTTCAATGAGGGAGATAATTATTGCGAATCGTTTGAAGGAGACCGAACTGAACCGTGAGAAGATAAGATGTTTAGGTGTCTTTCGAAGAACAAGGCTGATTCGACGGTTCGACCCAGATCGACGCGCACATTTTGACAATCGTCTGTCGATCCATATTTCAAGCTCGTTGAAAAATAAAAAGGAACACAGCTATGGATCGCGATGGGAGAATCCAAGACGAGCTCGATAATACCGTCGGAAGGTACGAGTATGTACGGTTGATATACTTGAGAGAACGAAGGAAACTGTTTGGTATCTTTGATATTTGTCGGAGTGTGATACTCGTGAAACGAGGACGATCGTGAAGATTCGAATCTCTGAAAACACCGAGCTTCTTCAAGACGTGGAAACTTGATGAGTATTTTAGTGAGTGTAAAAAGAGGAGGAACGAGGTTCGAAGAACGACTCGGGACGATTTCTAGAATTTAGTACAGAGCAATGAAATCTCGTTGTTACTTTGACTATAATGGAAACGAAGCAATGCGCTCTGTGATGGTGATGATGATGATTATGATGATGATGTTCGTGAAACGAGCTGAAATTGACGAAGGAAGTTCGCATGCTTTTTAGAACAAGTCCGTTGCACGGATACTGAACTGTATTTGTTGTTGTTAGAAAACTGAGCGAGAGAATAGACGATACGAATTACACGAACTCGAGCACGATTTAGTTCGATGAAAGATTGGGATCAATCGCGAGCGTTTCAACGAATTACAGTGGTGCGCAAAAGTCTCTGGTTAGATTTAGAGAATCGAGCAAACAGATAGGAGAAATTTTAAATAGTAACTCTACGTGATGAAATAAAACGAAAGTCGAGAATAGAAAAAATTGTGTGGGAAGCTTGGTGGTTAGTTACGGGCGGTGTACGACGGGTTGCCAGGTCTCAGGAACTTTTGGCGCGATCTTTCAAATGGCGTTTATTAAAACAATGAATCCTAGATCGCAATTTTACTGTTTCTTATTTTCGTCTTATCTTGTCGTGTAGAATTGCTTCTTAAAACTGTTTCCACGTTTTGCTGAACATTCTGTGCAACTTTCACTTTTTTTCTTTCAAAAGCAAAGATTAAAAAAGTTTCAGCTGATGTTTGATTTTATTTATTAAAAAAAATTACTACATCGACGTAATCGAAAGTTTTCCAGGGATGACATCTAATTGGAGACTTTTTGGCTCGTTACTGTTGTTCGAACTAATCACTGCCCGATCAGGTGAATGATTGAAACAAAAAATCGTTCTAATGCTTCGAACATTATGTCGCATTCGGCTGGAAAGGAAATGAAAAAAAAAAAACTGCCATATTCTCGTTATCCGTCGAAACTACTCCTCTTACGACGCTACCTTTAAAGAATTTTACGAAAGCAACGCACAAGACGACTTCCGATCGAGAACGATTGTTTTATCCACGCCTTTTCGATGCGACTTCTTACATGTTCCAAGATCGATGAAAACTAGCTAGATTATCAGGACTCTCGAACGTAGTTGAATAGGCATTTAACTATCAATAGGGTTCCAAATAATTCGAAGATCATGATTCTGAATTATGTTTTTCACAGTATAACAGTAAATCCAAATATTTACTTGTTTCTCTTTTTACTTCTAAATCGTCTGACAACGTGATCTTCTGATTATCCTTGTTTAAACGAGCTTCTTGGAAGAATGTAATTTATATTACTAATTATAATTTGTATATTAATTAATAATTATAGCAAAACAGCAATCCTATATCACGAAGGTATTGAAATGTTTGCAATCAGGAATTGCCTGTTATATGGATAATACTTAAAGATTGCAAAGTTGCATAATTACTCGCCGAAGTCAATGACTCACAGAATACATCAAGTCTTCACAATTTTTCCTTCTATAAAATCAACGATATTCCACAATGGTTACGATGCGCTGAAGTTTTTTCAAATTAAATCAAATGCCTCACTTCCGAAAGAAAAAAAAACAAACATGTATGATGATCTTTCGTTACGATTTTCGATTGCAAACGTTCCACGGGTGCCTAATTATCCCGGTATCTCCGATCAGGGCCAATTACAGACGTGATCTTTTTTTCCTTTTTCCGCCAACGGTAGTTCACACGTTTCTTATTCCGAGTTCGTACGTGGCTTTATTGCGTAACAGGACGCGTGTGTAATTCGCCTAGCAACCTGAATGATTTATCAACGGGACACGTGCGCGCGAGAAGTTCGAATAATCTCTAATATTGTTACACGCGATTGACCTCAATCGCGATCGTTCCAAGTCCGACAATTGCAGACGATTATACATAGATTACGAGTTGACTGCCATAAAAAAAAAACAAAAAAACAAAAAGAGCAAAATTTAACCGAGAAGAAGAGGGTCACGAAAGCAGGGTTCGTGAAGCGTTAATGCGACGATGTCTCGGAGCTATATAGTTATTCTCTTTTCTGTTTTTCTCTCACACATTTTTCAGTAGCTTTTTTCTTTTGCGTAGACGTTAAAAACGGCTAAGTATTTTCTTACGAGTATTCGCATTTTTGCGTTAACGGCACCGTTCCGTTTATTACTGAAATTTCGTCGACGAAATCACGAAGACAAGATACCGTGTGTTCAATACGAAAACGACTTCCGATTCGTTCACAATTTAGACATGCGGCAGAAGTTTCTTTTTTTTTTTTTTTTTTCTTTCTTTAAATAATCCAGCAGTACGCTTTGTAAACAGAGTATAGAATAGGACTAGTTCATCTTTGCTAAAAGTGAACACGATTTAATATGTGAATTTATCCGAACGACGAAAGAGAATGAATAAGATTTCTAGTGTTTTCTTTTTTCTGTGGTTCCGTTTTGTAGGTCGTCGATTTTGTTATAAAGAATTAATTAGTGTTTAAAATGTTCAGTGTTTGAGTAAAAAGAAAAAGTATTAGATAAGTTCGAACAGAAAATGTGGAAAATACTCGAAACGGAAAATTAGGGTACGATATTGCGCGATCGCGAGAGCATCATGTGTTTGCGAGATCTAATTTTTATTTATGATAATGTTGCCGCACTGATCTCCGCCATTTAGTTTTAATCGATCGATTTATTGTTCGAATAAAAGCGAAATACAAGAAGGATGTGTACGTGTGACGAGTGGAACTGTGTTGGGTGTTAGAGAAATTTATCGTACGATTAAGTACAACGTCAATTATTATTATTATTATCGTTATTGTCACTAGTAACGTTATTATCATTGAATTCGTAATCGCGTTTCTGATGGCGGGTGGAAATGCGTTACGATGTATTCGCTCTCATTAAGACTTGCAGAGTCGCAGCGCCGTCGCTATTTATTTTTTATACTTTTATACATACTGTTTATACGTGTTCGAACATCTGTGTTATCAATAAAAATTTCCTTTCTCGAAACTGTGTAATACTAAACCAAATTTGTTCCTTCAATTGTACGTAAAGTCTTTTATACTATTTTTTTTCCTTTTTTATGGAACTGTACTTTCTTCATTTGAAAATAGGTTTATAAGTTACAAAAGTAATGGCGTCTAAATTGAACGAGGCAGAAACACATTTGAGATTGAAAAAGTTAATAGTTCAAGATATTTCTGAAAGAAAGAGAAGCTTACCTTATTTATTCAATTATTTTGTAGCGATTAACGAAGCTCTTAGAAAATTAAAAATATGAAACTTTAGAAATACAGTTTGAACAAGGAAATACAAAAACGAAGTTTTAACCGCGCATACAGGTTCACCAACCTAACGATACAAATTTAATTGTAATTTCTCCATATGATCGACATTCCTGGCAACATAATATATGCAATTGCTTCTTACATCAGGTAGTGATTGTATATGCAATTGTATTTTTAAATTTTTCAATAGAAATTACACATTCTAAGATTTCAAATATTCAACTGAAATGGAACCGCATGAGCTAAATAAGAATCAATAGAAATGCATAACATGGATTATAATTTAACTCTGAGGTTTAAACATATAACCTAGACATGGATTATTTAGGTGAAGTAGTAGCTCTTGGAATTGATAGTGTGATTTTTGGCATCTGTTTGAAACAATATTTTCACTGCAGAAATGCAATTGCAGCTGTCAAGGTAAATATCATTCCTATTTTAAAATTTATAGTGACACTTATTTTGTACTTAACCTCTTTATAATTGTATCGTACATTTAAATGAATAATTATTTAAATATTTATTTAATAAAATTCATAATAATATCTGTAACGTTTAAAAATGCTTGCATACTTCAATTTCTCTACAGGGTGCAGAGTTTCATGAAGTTGGTTCACAATTGGGAGACCTTGTTGATAAGAGTTCTGATAATAAGATAGGCTACATAGCTATTAGAGGTATTGTAAAACCCTTAGGAAAACCATTGACTAGTATCAGTAACAAAAAATTAACTGGTGTTGTACAAAAACTTAAAATCAAGGAACATGTGGTTGCTAGAACTACTGCTGGCTTCTGGTAAAAATTCTTCTGAAGATACATTAAATAAGGAATATTTCAAAATATACATCTTTAAAATTAACAATTTTCTATTTTTACATAGGTCAGACCAAGAACGAACTGTTAATAAAGTATTTAATACTGTACCATTTGCTTTACAACAAGGAGGTCACTTTGTAGAAATATTAGAACCATTAGCAGCAGATATTTTAGACATGGATGTAGTGTCTAATACTTTTAAGCCAACTGTGCCTTCCTTTTCAGATCATTTATGGAGTTTTGTTACAGGTAATTAATAATGCTTTTATGTTTTACAATAATAGCTTACTTCACACAGTACAATTATAATTTGTTAATTTTAGGTGTTCGTCAACGTGGCTTGCAATCTACGGAAGAATTACTTCGTGAAGGTGCAATTATGACAGGTGTAGGTGAACTAACAAAAACAAAATCCAATACTCTTACATTACAACCCCCATTAAATGGTACACCATTTTACTTGACAAGCATGTCAATTAGTTCATTACTTAGGAAATTGGACGACCGTAAGAGAACATACAGGTGAGTTATGTACTTCATGTAATTTACAAATGGGATTCTTAAATTATATTTTACACTTTCAGATTATTATGTTTAATGTTTGGTGCAATTGGAATGCTGATTGGTGGAATAGTTTTCCGACGTTACTGGAAAGATAGAACAGAACAAAGAGTAGCAGAGGAACTGAGACAGTCTCTAGCTGCATCTCGTAAAGAAAGGCGACAACGAGTAAGAGACACCGATCTTAGGGGAGATCAAATTTGCGTCATTTGCTGTACAAATCCTCGTGAGATTATTCTTCTTCCATGTGGACATGTTTGCTTATGTGAGGACTGTTCTGAAGATATAACTACTCATTGCCCTATGTGCAGAGCACCAATTGCACAAAAAGCTGCAGCATATATTATCTAACACCATCTTTTAACTTTATTGAAATTACGTTTTGTTACTTAATATTTTTAATATTTAAAAAAAATTAATAAATAAAATGTAAACAAAAATTGAGATAAAAAGTTGCAGTGTACTTTGGAACAATAAACTAACTGTTGGAGGTGATTAAAACTAATACAATTTTAATTCAATAGAAAATGAAAGTCTAATACCACGTACAGTTGCATAACATGGTATATTTTAATGCATAGTAAAATTTTACACAAATATATCTCAACAGTTAACACATTCAGGATGACAGCGAAATTCACGAAATGCTCGGCTACTGCCGGCGTCCATTATGACCGGATGGTTCGATTTTACATCGGTGGGTCACACCGTCCTGAACGTGCTAAGAAATTATCAAAATTCTATATTTGTTTTAGTCTTTTCGTCATCTTTATTTTTATCGTTTTTGTGATCATCATTCGTAATTGAATTCATTACCCGTTTAACTTTGGTAGATTTTCCTATACCAAGTTTTGGAAGTCCCCTATTTAAACCTTCTAACATAATACAAGCTTTACATATTTCTTGGCTAGAAACAAATCCACATCGAGAACAATTTCTTCGCTCCGGTAATTTGATGTTTGCTTTGATTTGTAACGTTTCTCCTGTAAGAAAAAATGTATTAACAATGTATTAGATAAACATTAACAAGTATTTTAACAGGATATTCACAATCTTATTTACCAGAATGAATTATATCCAATATAGATGAGGGCCTAATTTTTTCTAAATCTTTAAGAAAAGTCCTTGCATGTCCCCTATATGCATTTGGTGCAAATACACATTCTGTTGAAAAATATACCAACTGTTTAAAATATGCATACATAACTATTTCTTTTTCATATGCATACTTAAGTGGCTTACATCGTTTTATGCAATCTGCTCCTGCCTGTATTAAGAACAAAATATTCATTTTTAATGTATATGTACATATACTTATGACACATATTCTTTCTAAAAGAATTGAACTTACAGTAATAATTGAGGTACATCTTTGTAACCTTGCAATATCACCTCTTAGAATATTCATTAAAACTGTTTCTGCTATGTCATCAGCATTATGACCTGTTGCAATACAATCTACACCCAAAAGAGCAGCACCTCTATCTAATGCTTGTCTCCGAAATACACCACAAAATGTACAATTGTTTTTTTTACCAATCTAAAATAAAACAGAAATTGAATAACAAATATACATGATCTTAATACAAAATTATAATGCAAATATAGGTACTTCTGCTACAATTTCATCCATTGTCCATCCATACAATTCTTTATAAGATAATATTTTTAATGGTAGTCCATAATCATCTTTATTCTGTTGAACAGTCTTTAAACTATCATCCCTGTACCCTATAACAATATATACTTTTTAAAAGTCAATTTTTAATAGTTAGATATTATAATGAAATTCTGTATCACATTACCAGTAATTCCTTCATCAATGGATAAAAGAAATAGATCAATTCCATATTTGTATTTTTCATTTAAAGTTTTTAAAACATATGCAAGTACTGTAGAATCTTTTCCTCCTGATGCTCCAATAGCAACTTTATCACCTGGTTTAAATAATTTGCCTTGTACGATTGTGTTGTGAATCTCACTTTCAAAAGCAAAGAAAAAGCATTCTTTACATAAGGCATGTCCAGTTTTTGGTCTCTGCAATTAAACATATCACTTTTCTTTCATGTTTATCTTTGCGATATGTTACTCTTTAAAATTTTAATCAAGCTTAAAAATTAACAAACTTACATTTGTAGTTATTTAACTTACTTTAAGAATAGCATTTTTCCCACACTTTCTTGAACATGGAATTGGCATTTTGATGGTAAAATTTTTACTTCACTGTCTTCTTATATCACAAATATTATAACTAAATATTCACTATAA